ATTAGCGAAATTAAGCATTTCAACTGAACGCCACGCGACGTGTATACCATAACTCGTCAAGTAAGTTTTAGTGTGCATCAATCCAATGTGCACAGTTTCCACATATTCACACACATTGTAATCTTTAACGACGCCAATTCAGTCGTCAATGAACTTGTCAACGACAGGCAGAGATGTAGTAGTTGGCTCGCATCAAATCTAACGGGTCATCACTGCAACACTCTCAGGGCAGTTCTTTGGAATCACTCAATGTATGTTGGGCCTTCCCCGAACCCGACCCAATCATGTCTTCGGCGTCACTCTGTGGAGGTAGGACGAGCCCCAAACCCAACTCAGGCATGTCCTCCCAAATATCGCCTGCACCTTGTTTATCACTGGTGCCTTGACAAACTTTATTGGTCCCGAAACCTTCACGAACACTGACCCCTGTCGAATCGATGCCAAATTTCTTAGCACACGATTTAACAAATCCCATGTTCTTGGGGTTGCCGTCATGCCTATAAAAACCGGATAGAATGGTCTGTGTTCTCAAGTTGTCCTCCCATGTGCCAAATTGCGCTCACGGAATCCAACAGGTAACTCTTCCATTTATCCAATGTGTGCTTTTTATGTTGAACTCTCGTTTACATCGTGTTGCATGAATGCACAATATTGCATTACAACAATATTTCTGGTGTACTGCCGCCTTCAATTTGTCTAATTTCATTTTGGCTATCGTAAGGATGTAAAATGTTCCTCGTTACACCTCTGTTGGTATGCATCCAAAAGGGGCTTATTGTTCTCCTTAAAATGTGCATTTCTGTGCGAAAAACCTAGTGTGACTGTATCCAACCCGGAAGCACATGGTGGCTTTTAATGACAACCTGCTTGTCCCACATCCGCGAGCTCCACCAAACAACTGAGGGCCATTTGCGTGTGGGTGTATGTGAGCGTCGGTGTGCGAAAACTTTGTGTTGAGTGAAGTGCGAGTGAGATGTGCAATGTGCCTAGCATCTGTACGTGAGGATCTAGAAGTGGTAGTTGGAGTCAGTGTGTCCTTCGAAGACGGCTGTTAGTGCGCAATACAAGAGCCGTCTTTAAGATACCAGATGGTTGGACAGGGATGTGGTAGTTGGCTCGCATCGAATCTAAACTAGAATAGGCAAATTTGTCGAGTAGGTTCGAAGCAAAGTCATGCAGATTTGGTAGTGGATAGGGATCAGGTGTGGTTGTTGCGCAAAGAACGCCCTATAATCACCGCATGGACGTCATTTCACCCTCAACTTTCTTGGCAACCATGTGCAACGCCCATGACCAGTTGCTGACTGATCGTAGCACTAAGCCAAGCTGCAGCATGTGATTGAATTAGTTGTTCAGACATCGAGTATCGGAAATGGGGAAGTGTGCGTAGTTGAGAACATTGACGTGTTTACCGCTTGTCGAAATGTCGTGCCTGACCGTGTCGGAATTCGGTAAGTCGGTAAGGTGATAATCAAGATGACCCGGGTGCAGACCTCGAGCGATTATGCCTAGATGAGTTATCAGATCCTCTGCTTCGAGTTGGTCTGATGGACATGGCATTACCTGTCGCTTTAATCCTGACTAGTTGGTTCTTCAATTGAGCGAGTTCTTTTAATGCGCTTTCGATTGATGGAACATTGCAGTGTTGTTGAGGTCTAGGATTAACCTTGATAACGTGTCAATTTGTTTGCATCAAATATGAGGTCTTTGGTGTCCGAAAACTGCTCAAGGGTTGACACTTCCTAAAAATGATCTACAATTGGATAAACGGTATTTGGTGTCTGACTGAGCAACTGCAATGCGGCGTGTTGTCGTTAAGGAGCTGATGCATTTTCCACAGAATCTGGATTGGCCTTCTGTCTCCTCTATCATCACGCGTCAGAATGTTGAGAGATGCGTACGGTTGAGGATTTCAGATTTCAAATGGTCCTAGGTGCTTACTTGTCG